ACTCACGGAAATATTCCCTCACAATGGCAGACCAGTATTATTCTTCCGTTCCTTAAACCAGGAAAAGACCCATCCCAACCTGCGTCATATAGACCTATTTCCCTACTATCATGTCTCAGTAAAGTCATGGAAAGACTAGTACATACTCGCCTTCAATGGTACCTAGAATATAATAATATTATACCGTCACTCCAAGCTGGATTTCGACCGCTATGCTCCACACTCGATCAAATACTTAGCCTTGAACATGAAATCCGCACCTCCCTCAGAAGCAGCAAATTTTGTATTGTTCTCTACTTAGACCTCAAAGGGGCTTTTGATAGCATTCCTCATACTTGCCTCCTCGCAAAGCTTGCGCGTTTAGGCGTACAGGGAAGATTACTTTTATGGTTAAAATCCTATCTTACGAACAGGACCTCTAAAGTCTATATACAAGGCGAGTTTTCCGATGACATCCCAATACAAACGGGTGTCCCACAAGGCTCCATACTAAGCCCAACCCTTTTTGCTGCATTCTTAGCAGATTTGCCTAACACCCATCCTGTTAACCTCTCGGCGTACGCCGACGACTTACCACTGCATTATTCAGACAACGCCTTACCTAATACAGTCTCAACAATGCAAACAGCACTTGATCACCTCATAGATTGGACACAACAATGGGGCCTTCAAGTTAGTACTACCAAAACCTATTATCAAATTTTCACTAAAAAAGACTTGTTCATCTACCCACCCTCACAATACACAACACTCCCATCCAACACGTGCAAGAACATAAATACCTTGGCATGCACTTAGACTCGCCCTCACTTACCTGGAAAGCACACATTCAACACCTTAAACAGACGACACAACCCCGACTCGCCATACTGAAAGCCCTCACTGGCACCACCTGGGGAGCACACCATAAAATCCTGCTCCGTTTCTATACAACCTACATTCGCAGCCAACTAGACTATTGTTGCCAAGCATATGCGTCGGCTGCGCCTACTAACCTACAGAGCCTAGAGGTCATCCAAAACAATGCCATGCGACTTACATGTGGCGCAATGCGTTCCACTCCTATCCTCGGACTTTACGGGGAAACGGGCCTCACAAGCCTAGCCACCAGACGAGACATAATGTGTGCCAACTATCTGTCACTCTGTACCACTGCTCACCAGACACACCCATACAGATAAAAAATTAACCCAACAGTTAACCCACATAACCCCCGCTTCCCAACCAATCACTCACAACCTTTCCTCACACGGGCTACAAATAACCTCAATATAGACCTCTCTCTACTCCAAAACTCGGAAACCCAACTTACTGTTCCCCCTATTCCACCCTGGCTTTATACAACTCCTAATACAGCAATACAACTCGAAGACAACATTCCAAAGTCTGCACCAAACTCAGCCATAGCCTCAGTCTTTCTCTCAACAATGAAAAATTGCTACCCAAATACCACAGCGATTTATACAGATGGATCTCGCATCATCATGAACAACGTACCCTCGGTCACTAGCGCTGTATGGATACCGGAATACCATCTCAAGCAGGGATGGCGGTTACCAAACCAACTATCTGTTTTCACAGCTGAATTATATGCCTTATATCAAGCTCTCCAAATAATCACAACATTACCAGTCGGGACATATACAATCTGCAGTGACTCCAAGAGTGCGATTCAAGCAATTACGTACTCTTCAAAAACGTGCAAGGAGTTTGTTTACCCATGTCTTCAACTTCTTCATGAACATCGATTGAACGGTTATGATACCTCTGTCCAATGGGTCCCAGCGCATTGTGGTATTCTCCATAATGAACTAGTAGATCAACTAGCCAAAGCAATGCACAACACACCTCACATTACCCGTCATCCAATTCCCCATGTTGCACGTAAAGGAGCCTTCAAAAATACCATCACCCAAGATTTTGCGACGAAATGGAAAACATTATGCTCACCTTTGTACTTTGGGTCCATTAAAAAGAAATAGGAAACTTGGAAACATGTCAGATATAAAAGCAGAGAAATTGATATAGCGATGACCAGATTAAGGCTGGGACACACCAAACTAGTAGCACACAGCTCTAAGTACAGAACAGACATCAACGAACTCTGCATCCACTATCAGGTGCCTGAAACAATCGAACACTATCTCCTACATGCAGGCGATGAGTCACAATAACGTGGCTGAAGTATGTTGACCAGACCACACACTAGAAATTGAAGGGACGACGACGTTTAGGTCCGTCCTGGACCGAACTCCCATGTTGCACGTAAAGGACTTGAGAATGGTCCAGGACGGACCGAAACGTCGTCGTCCCTTCAATTTCTAGTGTATGGTCTGGTCATCAATCTCCTACATTGCTTCCGACACTATAGTGCCAGAGTAAATTTCAAACAAGTACTTATCTCACTTAAAATACCCGTTACCATCGAGCATATATTAGGAGGCGGTGACCACTCGTTACAAGAAAAATACCAAATAGTCAAAGCACTGGCTAAATATCTCCAATCGACCAACAAATTGGGTCACATCTGACCCGCGCCACATTTATACCTGGCGCCACCAACAGCTAAACACAGAAAACAACTGCCTCGTCTCAACACCAAGGATCAGCTGACGCCAAAAACACAACACACCGCCCTACGGTGCGGCAAGTCTCCCTCTAACACACACCTCTGTTCTAGTCCCCGCTCCTCTGTCTACAGCACAACGCAACAAACACTTTTGAAACTCTTATCATCTTCAACATAAACGCCTTTACCAACATCTGTACTGGTGCAGTCATCGGGAGGACAAACCCTTCATGCAAACTGCACCTACTATCAAGAAGAAGAAGGAACGGTCAACTATATTACCCTTTGTGACAGGAATGGAGCGCTATATTACCCTCTGTGATAGGGACGGAGGTTAATGTTACCATCTGTGATGGGGAAGGAGGACTATATTACCATCTGTGATAGGGACGAAGGGCTATATTACCATCTGTGACAGGGATGGAGGACTATATTACCATCTGTGACAGGAAAGGAGGACTATATTACCATCTGTGACAGGGAAGGAGGACTATATTACCATCTGTGACAGGGGACGGAGGGCTATATTACCCTCTGTGACAGGGATGGAGGGCTATATTACAATCAGTGACAGGGACGGAGGGCTATATTACAATCTGTGACAGGGACGGAGGACCATATTACCATCTGTGACAGGGAAGGAGGACTATATTACCATCTGTGACAGGGGACGGAGGGCTAAATTACCCTCTGTGACAGGGATGGAGGGCTATATTACAATCAGTGACAGGGACGGAGGGCTATATTACAATCTGTGACAGGGACGGAGGGCTACATTACCATCTGTGACAGGGACGGTCAGCATTATTACCATCTGTGACAGGGACGGAAGGCTATATTATCCTCTGTGATAGGGACGGAAGGATATTTTACCATTTGTTACTGCGACGGAAGGCTATATTATCCTCTGTGATAGGGACGGAAGGCTATATTATCCTCTGTGATAGGGACGGAAGGATATTTTACCATTTGTTACTGCGACGGAAGGCTATATTAGCCTCTGTACTCACCTATTTTTACTCACCTATTGCAGGATCGAGCATTGACTCTTGGATCCCGCCTTTCCAGCCATCGGTTGTTTACAGCAATGACTCCTGTCCCATTTTCCTATCATACCTAATTTTAAAAGTATGAATAGAGTTTGCTTCCTCAACCTGTTCCCCAAGTGCATTCCATTTTTCCACAACTCTCACGCTAAAAGAAAACTTCCTAACATCTCTGTAACTCATCTGGGTTTCCAGTTTCCACCCATGTCCCCTCGTTCTTTTATTATTACGTGTGTACATTTAATCTATTTACACTTTGTCTATTCCCCTGAATATTTTATATGACCCTATCATATCTCCTCAATCCCTTCTTTTCTTTAGAGTCGTAAGGTTCAGTTCCAGCAGACGCTCTTCATATCCCATCCCTCGTAACTCTGGGACAAGCCTCGTCGCAATTCTCAGAACCTTCTCTAGTTTCCTTATGTGTTTCTCCAGGTGGGGACTCCATGATGGCGCGGCATACTCTAAGAATGGTCTCACGTAGGCAGTATAGAGTGCCCTAACAGCCTCCTCAATTAGGTTTCTATATTACCATCTGTGACAGGGACGGAGGGCTATATTACCAACTGTGACCGGGACGGAGGGCTATATTATCATCTGTGACAGGGACAGAGGGCTATATTACCATCTGTGACAGGGACGGAGGGCTACATTACCATCTGTGACAGGCACGGAGGACTATATTACCATCTGTGACAGGGAAGGAGGACTATATTACCATCTGTGACAGGGACGGAGGACTATATTACCATCTGTGACAGGGGACGGAAGGCTATATTACCCTCTGTGACAGGGACGGGGGATTATTTTACAATCTGTGACAGGGACGGAGGGCTATATTACAATCTGTGACAGGGACGGAGGACCATATTACCATCTGTGACAGGAACGGAGGACTATATTACCATCTGTGACAGGAACGGTCAGCATTATTACCATCTGTGACAGGGACGGAAGGCTATATTACCATCTGTGACAGGGATGGAGGACTATATTACCATCTGTGACAGGGTCGGGGGCTATATTACAGTCTGTGATGGGGAAGGAGGACTATATTACCATCTGTGACAGGGACGGAGAGCTATATTACCATCTGTGACAGGGACGGCGGGCTATATTACTATCTGTGACAGGGACGGAGGGCTATATTACCATCTGTGACAGGGACGGAAGGCTATATTACCATCTGTGACAGGGACGGAGGGCTATATTACCATCTGTGACAGGGACGGAGGGCTATATTACCATCTGTGACAGGGACGGAGGGCTATATTACCATCTGTGACAGGGACGGAGGGCTATATTACCATCTGTGACAGGGACGGAGGGCTATATTACCATCTGTGACAGGGACGGAGGACTATATTACCATCTGTGACAGGGACGGAGGCGGCGCACCAGCTTACGCAGCCCTCGCCTCAGACAGTGCGTCTGGCCGCCACCAATAAGAATGTATCGTTCCTGAAGTCATTTCCCATCGAACACCGCTGGGCGCTCTGGTCCACCTTTAGCGTCGCCAACGAGAGTACCGGGTGAGTCTTGCTCCTTCTCTCTGTTGTTACTGTTGCTGCTGCTGTTGTTACTGTTGCTGCTGTTGTTATTGTTGCTGCTGTTGTTACTGTTGTTGATACTGTTGCTGCTGTTGTTACAACAACACCACCAGCACCAGCAACAGTAACACTAGCAGCAACAGTAACAACAGCATCAGCACGAACAACAGTAGCACCATCAACAATAACAACAGCAGCATCAGTAACAGAAGCAGCAACAATAACAACAGCAGCAAAAGCAACAGTAGCAAAAGCAGCATCAACAACAGTATCAACAAATACAGCAGCTGTTGGTACTTTTTCTGGTGCTGCTGTTGTTACTGTTGCAGGTGCAGATGTTGTTACTGTTGGTGGCGCTGCTGTTCTTTCTGTTGATTTTGGTGCTGTTGTTATTGTTGCTGCTGTTGTTATTGTTGCTGGTCGTGTTACGTTGATGGTGCTGCTGTTATTACTGTTGCTGCTGTTGTTACTTTTGCTGCTGTAGTTACTGTTGTTATTGTTGCTGCTGTTGTTATTATTGCTGCTGTTGATACTGTTGCTGTTGTTTTTACTGTTGCTGATTTTTTACTGTTGCTGGTGTAGTTACTGTTGTTTTTGCTGCTGTTGTTACTGTTGCTAGTGTTGTTGTTGTTAATATTTCTGGTGCTGCTGTTGTTGCTGTTGCTGCTTTTGTTACTGTTTCTGCTGTTGTTACTGTTGGTACTGTTGTTACTGTTCGTGAAGCTGCTGTTGTTACGGTTGTTGGGCCTGCTGTTTTTGTTACTGTTGCTCTCGTGCTGTTGTTACTGTTAGTGCTGATGTTACTGTTGCTTCTGTTGTTACTGTTGCTGGTTCTGCTGTTGTTACTGATTGTGGTGTGCTGTTGATACTGTTTTCTTGCTGCTGTTGTTACTGTTGCTGGTGCTGTTACTGGTACAGTTGGTACTGTTGCTGCTGTTGTTACTGTTGCTGGTGCTAATGCTGTGGTTTTTCTTTCCGTTTGCTATTGGTGGTGCTGTTGTTGTTACTGTTGCTGGAGCTGCTGTTAATACTATTGTTGGTGCTGCTGTTGTTGCTGGTGCTGTTTTGTTACTGTTGCTGGTGCTGCTGTTGTTACTGTTGCTGGTGTTTCTGTTGTTACTGTTGTTGTTTCTGTGGTTGCTGCTATTGTTACTGTTGCTGCGGCTGTTACTATTAGTGGTGCTGCTGTTGATACTGTTACTGCTGTTGGTACTGCTGTTGTTACTGTTGCTGCTGTTGTTACTGTTGCTGCTGTTTTTACTGTTGCTGGAGCTCCTGTTGTTACTGTTGCAGGTGCTGCAGTTGGTTCTGTTGTTGGTGCTGCTGTTGTTACTGTTGCTGCTATTGTTACTGTTGCTCTTTTTACTGTTGTTGCTGTTGCTGCTGTTGTTACTGTTGCTGCTGTATTTCCTGTTGTTGGTGCTGCTGTTGTTATTGTTGCTGGAGCTCCTGCTGTTACTGTTGCTGGTGATGCAGTTGGTTCTGTTACTGGTGCTGCTTTTGTTACTCATTTTGGTGTTGCTGTTGTTACTGTTGCTGCTGTTGTTACTGTTGATGTTGTTCCTGTTGGTGATGCTGCTGTAGTTTCTGCTGTTGCTACTGTTGGTGGTTCTGTTGTTACTGTTTCTCCTGTTGTTACTGTTCGTCGTACTGCTGTTGTTACTGACACTGTTGTTGTTATTAATGCTGCTGTTGTTCCTGTTGGTGGTGCAACCGTAGATCATGCTACTGCTGTTGTTACTGTTGCTTCTGCTGTTGTTACTGTCCCTGCTGTTGTTACTGTTGCTGCTGGTATTACTGTTGCTGGTGCTGGTGCTGTTGTTACTGTTGCTGCTGTGTTTACTGTTGCTGATGCTGCTGTTTTGATTGTAGTTGTTACTTCTGCTGTTGTTACTGTAGCTGCTGCTGTTGATACTGATGCTACTGTTGTTACTGTTGCTGCTGTTGTTACTGTTGTTGGTGCTGCAGTTGGTGCTGTTGTTGGTGCTGCTGTTGTTTCTGTTGTTGGTGCTCTTGTTGTTACTGTTGCTGGTGCTGCTGTTGTTACTGTTGCTGGTGCTGCAGTTGGTACTGTTGTTGGTGCTGCTGTTGATACTGATGCTGGTGCTGCTGCTGCTACTGTTCCTGGTGCTACTGTTGGTACTTTTTCTGGTGCTCCTGTTGTTACTCTTTAGGGGGCTGCTGTTGTTATGGTTGCTGGTGCAGCTGTTGTTATTGTTGCTACTGTTGTTATTGTTGCTGGTCGTGATACTGTTGATGGTGCTGCTGTTATTAATGTTGCTGCTGTAGTTACTGTTGTTATTGTTGCTGCTGTTGTTATTATTGCTGCTGTTAATACTGTTGCTGTTGTTTTTACTGTTGCTGTGGTTTTTACTGTTGTTGGTGTTGTTACTGTTGTTTGTACTGCTGTTGTTACTGTTGCTAGTGTTGCTGTTGTTAATATTGCTGGAGCTGCTGTTGTTACTGTTGTTGCTTTTGTTACTGTTGCTGCTGTTCTTACTGTTGGTACTGTTGTTACTGTTTGTGGAGCTGCTGTTGCTACAGTTGTTGGGACTGCTGTTTTTTTACTGTTTCTCTCGTGCTGTTGTTACTGTTAGTACTGTTGTTACTGTTGCTTCTGTTGTTACTTCTGTGGTTCTGCTGTTGTTACTGTTTGTGGTGCTGCACCTGATACTGTTTTGGTGCTGCTGTTATTACTGTTGCTGGTGCTGCAGCTGTTGTTCATTCTTTCTGTTTGCTATTAGTGATGCTGTTGTTGTTACTGTTGCTGGTGCTGCTGTTAATACTATTGTTGGTGCTGCTGTTGTTGCTGATGCTGTTTTGTTACTGTTGCTGATGCTGCTGTTGTTACTCTTTCTGGTGCTGCTATTGTTACTGTTGCTGGTGTTTCTATTGTTACTGTTGTTGGTGCTGCTGTTGTTTCTTTTGTTGGTGCTGTTGTTATTGTTGCTACTGTTCTTACTGTTGCTGCTGTTGTTACTTTTGCTGCTGTTGTTACTATTGCTACTGTTGGTGGTGCTGCTTTTGTTACTGTTGTTGCTGTTGGTGGTGCTTCTTATGTTACTGTTGTTGGTGTAGCTGCTGTTGTTACTGTTGTTGGTGTAGCTGCTGTTGTTACTGTTGTTGGTGTAGCTGCTGTTGTTACTGTTGCTAGTGCTGCTGTTGCTGCTGTTATTACTGTTGTTGCTTTGTTACTGTTGCTGCTATTGTCACTGTTGCTGTTGATACTGTTGCTGCTGCTGTTACTCTTGCTGCTTTTTTACTGTTGCTGGAGCTCCTGTTTTTACTGTAGCTAGTGCTGCAGTTGGTTCTGTTGTTGGTGCTGCTGTTGGTACTGTTGCTGCTATTTTTACTGTTGTTACTGACAATGTTGTTGTTATTGTTGCTGCTGTTGTTACTGTTGCTGGTGCTGCATTTAGTGCTGCTGTTGTTACTATTGCTGGTGCTGCATTTGGTGCATCTGTTGTTACTGTTGCTGGTGCTGCTGTTGATACTGTTGCTGCTGTTGTTACTGTTGCTGGTGCTGCTGTTGATACTGTTGCTGCTGTTGTTACTGATGCAGGTGCTGCTGTTCTTACTGTTGTTACTGTTTTTGCTGTTGTTACTGTTGCTGCTGTTGTTACTGTTGGTTGTGCTACTTTTGTTACTGGTGCTGTTGTTACTGTTGTTGATGCTGCTTTTGTTACTGGTGCTGCTGTTGTTATTGTTAGTGATGCAACTGTTGTTCGTGCTGCTGCTGTTGTTACTGTTGCTGCTGTTGTTGTTACTGTCCCTGCTGTTGTTACTGTTGCTTCTGGTGTTACTGTTGCTGGTGCTACTGCTGTTGCTACTGTTGCTACTGTGTTTACTGCTGCTGATGCTGCTGTTTTGATTGTAGTTGTTACTTCTGCTGTTGTTACTGTAGCTGCTGCTGTTGATACTGTTGCTACTGTCGTTACTGTTGCTGCTGTTGTTACTGTTGCTGCTGTTGTTACTGTTGCTGGTGCTGCAGTTGGTACTATTGTTGGTGCTGCTGTTGTTTCTGTTGTTGGTGCTCCTGTTGTTACTGTTGCTGCTGTTGTTACTGTTGCTGGTGCTGCAGTTGGTACTGTTGTTGGTGCTGCTGTTGTTACTGTTGCTGGTGCTGCTGTTGCTACTGTTGCTGGTGATGCATTTGGTGCATCTGTTGTTACTGTTGCTGGTGCTGCTGTTGATACTGTTGCTGCTGTTGTTACTGTTGCTGGTGCTGCTGTTGATACTGTTGCTGCTGTTGTTACTGTTGTTGGTGCTGCTGTTGTTACTGTTGCTGGTGCTGATGTTGTTACTGTTGTTGGTACTGCTGTTGTTGGTACTGCTGTTGTTACTGATGCTGGTGCTGCTGCTGCTACTGTTGCTGCTGCTACTGTTGGTACTTTTTCTGGTGCTACTGTTTTTGCTCTTTCTGGTGCTGCTGTTGTTATGGTTGCTGGTGCAGCTGTTGTTACTGTTGGTGGCACTGTTGTTGTGTCTGTTGTTGTTGGTGCTGTTGTTATTGTTGCTGCTGTTGTTATTGATGCTGGTCGTGTTACTGTTGATGGTGCTGCTATTAATACTGTTGCTGTTGTTGTTACTTTTTCTACTGTAATTACTGTTGTTGCTATTGTTATTGTTGCTGCTGTAGTTATTATTGCTGCTGTTAATACTGTTGCTGTTGTTTTTACTATTGCTGTTGTTTTTACTGTTGCTGGTGTTGTTACTGTTGTTTGTGCTGTTGTTGTTACTGTTGCTAGTGCTGCTGTTGTTACTGTTGGTACTGTTGTTACTGTTGGTATTGTTGTTACTGTTCGTGGAGCTGTTGTTATTACGGTTGTTGGGACTGCTGTTTTTGTTACTGTTACTCTCTTGCTGTTGTTACTGTTGCTTCTGTTGTTACTGTTGCTGGTTTTGCTGTTGTTACTGTTGCTGGTTTTGCTGTTGTTACTGTTTGTGGTGCTGCTGTTGATACTTTTTTAGTGCTACTGTTG